ATCGCAGGTCTACACTACTGCTTCATATGACAAGAACAAGGAGAGGATCTACTTCCAAATCTTCTCTCACAAGGCTTCGATTTCAAAAGGGAGATTTTGTTCACTGTTACAGCTTGCTGTGGATTCGTCTGTGATCTCACCTGACTTCATCACCACTACTCAACTATTCTCGATGCTCTACGAGATGGGCTACACTGATGTTCTTACCACTGTCGCGAAGGTTAAGAAATCGTGTTTGCCGCCCCAATGGAATGGATTGCTTACTCTTCTTATCAAGGGTTTGGCGGAGAGGAGTGATGGGTCTGATGGTACCAGCAAGGGTTTTCTGACCATTCTATATGGTCTTTATAATGGGATAAATCTCGACTATGGGTCGATTATCTGGTCACAGGTGGTGCAAAGTCTCAATACTTCAACGAGACACTCTGAAATTTCTTGTGGTCGCTTCTGGACTCTCATAACACGCAGGGCAATTGACACTTTGCAAATTCCAGTAATGAAGGATGCCCTGGTCTCGTCTGTGGCTTCTTTTCACACGAAGAAGATCATATTCTCCGATGCCTCGAAACTCTCTCACATTGGTTCTATTCCTGAGACGATGTACCGATGCGTATCAGCCGAAAGTAATGTGATGGCTGATTACCGGAAGCTTACTCCCAAGGAACCGAGGGTATTGACTCCTGAACAGCAAGCTGCTTTGGATGCTGTGGAGAAACCTGCAAACCGAGGAAAAAGGGCTACTACCAAGAAAGAAACAACCAAAGGTGATTCATCTAAACCTGCCAAGTCTAGGAAGCGAAAGTCTGTAAAGGGTGATTTTTCTAAGCCAAAGAAGATTAAGAAGATGGCGAAGAAACCCAAGAGTCCTTCCCCTTCGAGCTCAGACAACGATGAGGAGGATCAAGAAGAGGAAATTCAGCATCATGATTCACCGAGAGGTAACACACCTCCTCGATCACCAACTCCAATCGAACCTCTTAATCATAAGATTCCATCACCTCCTCCATCTCCACCGAAAACAGTTGTTCCAATTTCGGTTGCTCCTATTCCACCACATACCACCTCTCCAACAACAACTTTTATTCCACCACCACCACCTGTTAGTACAATCCCAATTTCTACAACTTCTTTACCACCTCCTATCATTTCCCAAGCAACTACCACCACTATAACCCATCCGACAGTAAACGTCAACGTATCTGATAAGGGGGCGAATACTGAAACCGAACCTCCAGTTACTTCTAAACCTCTTTCACCCTCACCTTCAACCGATTCCGGTGCCACTCTTGGTGGTGATAATGTTGAGTTTGACTCAACTTACTACAGTCCCTATCGGCTTCCTACCGACGATGATGAAGAGGCTCCTATCACTCGCCAACAACTGCAGAGTATTGATGATAAGCTCGATAAATTGCTTGCTGCCAACAAGTCCTACAATGATGTTGTGCTCAAAGCTTTTATGGACACCGCTTTTGAGCAATATACTGGGGCTATTGACAAATCCACGAAGGCTGTTGAGGATTCCACTTCTTCTTGCAAGAAAGCCACTACTGAGGTTATAGAGCTTGTTCACAGTACTCAGATATTTCTTGAATCACTCAAAGGCCATGCTGATGCAAATGCAGCCAAAGTGAACGCCTCAGTGGATTCCTTATCCAAATCACTTCAAGAGGAGCAAACTAAGTTTGAGGCTGTTCGTTCGTCTATTCAAGTTGAGAGTACTTCTCTGCTTAGTTCAGTGACTTCTTATCTTTCAACTCTCCAAGCTGATTTAGCAAAGGAAAGTGCCTTAAAGGAAGATCTTGCACGCCAAGCCTCGACTATTGACGTTCAAAAAGTGCAGTTGGCTCAAGCTGAAAAGGAAATCTCCCTGTTGAAGACTGAGCGAGCAGTATTCCGAAGCTGTGCTGGGGATGTCAAAAATATGCTTACCAATCTTCTGGGTGCTCATGATCCTATCCTAACTTTGACCATCAGGAATCATTTAACTTCAAAGCTTATTCCTGCCCTTGCTCTCTTGCATGAAATGAAAGGTGTTTCGGAGACGTTCGTACCTCCAAAACAAGGGGGAGAAGGTGCTACTCAACCGAAGGTCACAGTTAAAACCGAACCGAAGGTTAATGAAGCTTCGGGTTCTGGGAACAAAGATAAGAAGAAGGGAATTGATGATGACAGTGATGAAGCAGAATAGACAATTGTTGAGGCTCTAAAAAGAAAGAAAAGGGACAGAGAATTGGATGAAACCCTCCGGGTTGCGAAGGAGGCTGAAGAAAGGGAAAGAAGGAACAAGGAAGAACAAGATGCTATAAACTGCAAAAAGGCCTTGTTTCCTCTCTGGACAAGAGAAACACTCATCAAGGAGGCAATTGAGTTTCCAAGCGTCTACTGGCTGGAACCTGTCGCTTCTTTTGATTGTGAAAATTCAAAAGACTCACAGTTCGATATGCCTATAACACGAAAGGCATTTACATTTCATTGTTTTGATTCGACTGTTGAAGTTCCTTTCCCTCATCCGAAAGTTGATCGCGAACTAATTGATTTTTATTTGAAGTTCGGTCAGCCTCAGTACTTGACATGGAGTGCACATAAGATTGTTACTGTCAAGGTACTAAAACCTTCGCCTGTCGGGAAGTTCATAAATGTTAGTTTCAAAATCACCCGAGGATCAGCAAACTCGGTTTCGGTTATTTCCCTGGCAGATCTTCCAAATTTGAATCTTCATGATTGGATCCTATTGTTTAACATTCTGCTCACCAATCCGAAAGAATATGAGCCGATACTGGATCATTTGAAGAGGATGTTGGCCTCCTATATCCATGAAGTAGCTGCAATGGATCAGGAGATAGCAAAAGTGATGAATAAGAAACCGATTGCCAAGTCAACAGCGAAACCAGGAGATGTGAATAAAATGAGGATGGGCCAGATTGATTCTACACATCTTACTGTGATGTTCACAAGAGGCGAAGCCAATCGTTTTCTGTTCGCTCTTGTTGACAAACATCTGTTCTCAACAGACTGCTTAGAGCACATTATCAGTATCATTCATCGGTGCAAGCAGAATTCTGATGCAGACAAGAAGAACTTCACGGACATGCTTCGGTGGTATATCACGTTTCGTCATACTCTTTTGGCCATCATACCGAAGGTGTTCAAGACAGTCAAGAAGTCTTCTGCAACTCAACCGAAGTGAGCTTTCGGCTCCATTGACGCAAAGGGGGAGATTGTTGGGTATTATTGTGTTGCGTCATGGGCTTGTTTTGTATATCCGGATTGGGCCTGTCCATCCGTGATTATCTAGTAGGGTTAAACTATAAATAGTGAATGCATGTATGCATTAGATACGTTCTTGATAATCATTATCATTGTTTTGTAACCCTAAACACCTCTACAGTCGAAGTTCTTAATTGAGCTCTTCTGAGGTGTTAAAGTTTAATCATACGACATCTTTAAAGTCATTCATGTGTTCTTAATTACGTCTTTAATTGTTTATCTGCTTAGAATCTATCGATCCTACTAGAACTTTGTTCTATCACAAGTCATCCTATATCTATTATATAACTTTTATAGTCCTTTCCATTCACTAAGTCAACCCTTTGGTCAACACACTTTGCCAATTTGGCACTTTTGGCCCTTTAACTTTTTAAAATGTTACTATTTTCACTTCTAACTTTCTAAGCTTCATATCAAATAATGATATGATTATTCGTTGATGATTTAACTATATAAATCTTATTTCATTTATTTACTTTATTAATTTAAGAACCATGTCTTAAATTTAAGGATGTTACATAAATATCGATGGATGGATTCCGTCGCTAAAATTTGTATATAAAAGTCCTTTATAGTTGTAGTGTATATATTTTTGTATGGTGAATGTTCGTGGTTCAAATAGACAAATGTCTTTGCATAATATAAAATGTTGTTTTTACATTTTTGAAATATTCCAAATAGTTTGCGCAACTCTCGCTTAATATTTAAAATACAAACAGACAATATCATCCGAAATATATTATTTAGATTGTTAGTAAAAATAGATTAATCTATTATGATTCTATGTAGTTAACTTCAAGTTTGTGATCCACATGTCTATCTATAAAGTGAAGTACTATGTTGTTTGGTTTATAAGTTGGCAGTTAAAGCTTATATTTCTAGTGGATCTATGTTATTTAATTTGTAAGCTACCAATTAATATTAATATAGATTGATTTATTTTGGTTCTATGTAGATAACTTCAAGTTTTATCCACAAGTCTATCTATAAAGTGAAGTACTATGTTGTTTGGTTTATAAGTTGGCAGTTAAAGCTTATATTTCTAGTGGATCTATGTTATTTAATTTGTAAGCTACCAATTAATATAGATTGATTTATTTTGATTCTTTGTAACTAGTTAAGGCTATCCGGAATGGAGTCTCAAGTCATGTGTGAAAGCCTATGTGACACACTAACCCACTAGTGAACACCACCGTAGAGGCTGGTGGGTTGGATGTGGAGTGGCTATGGAGACAGACGAAAACGCTGCGATTGATTGGCTAAAACTTTTTTGACCGTTTCTTTTGTGAGGTTAGAATAAAAAAAAATTATTGGTTACATGAATAAAGGAAAATGTTTGTGGAGTGGTTACCATTTAAGGGCTGGTAGTTTGATAGTGAAGAGATAGTTTGATAGTGAAGAGGTAGTGAAGATGACGTAACACATATATGTTACAATATTTTCTTGGGTTGGTGGTGATTATTAATCCATTCTATATGTTATTGGTGTTCGAGTTTATTCTCTATCCCACTACTTTACTATTTTACACTTATACCTTGTTATTTGTATTTTATTTTCATGATTGGGATCGTTGCAAACTCTTTTATGTCTATATCATAAAATATTTATCAAAGCTGAATTGGTTGTTTATTTTTTATACTATAAAGTGTCACAACACCTTCCTTCCTAAAGTGCACTTATGATATATTACGAACTCTTTTACTCCACTAAAAGTATATAAAAAACAAAACTGCCTACAAAATAAGTAATCTTATTCATAAAAATGTACTGACATGTCAATAAGTATAATATTTTTCACAAAACTTCAACAGTATGGACATAAACATAAGACATATTTGACAAGTTGTCAAGAAGATCCATAGTTAACATCGATGATTTAGCCTTATAAGGCGATCGGGTAGAATAACTATGATCTACCTCTAATGGCTTAGTCAGTGTTAATGTGATGGGTGTAATCCGTTCAATGACTTTAAGCCATTTTGCTTGCATGTATCGTTGCTTTCTCCATGGCCCCAAATGCATTTTCTTTTCCTTCATGCATTTTTTAGCCGCATTACTCAGTAGTTTAATCACAGTTTGCAGTCTATCGATCTTTCCCACGAATATATCGGGAAGTTTGGATACAAGACCATTATACTCTTCACTTCCTTTCTTCATTTCAAATTGACCTCGTAACTCCAACTCGATTATCACCCTCACTTCACCCTTTTTATGATTAGAGTTGTCGATCACATCCACAAACGTGTGCTCTCCTGTTTCATACATATATATACAAGACAACATGTTAGTAACTACAACGTGATTTTGGTTTTTTGTCACAAGAAATTTGATGAAAATGAAAATACCTGATGGAATATCTAAGGAGCTCTTCCATTTGGACTTGCAAATAGCAGAATCATAACCGGAATTCTGCAACCGGCTACAAATTTCTCTCATCCTACAACTCCGGCAACCACCGGGGACTGGTCTCGAACAAGAACATTCATTCTCAGCCATCTCAACTTCCAAAAGTACTTCTTTTGCTATATTTCGGATCTTTGACTCGAACATTGTTGTCCTAAATAACGTCGACTGTTGAAATCGTATAAAAATTTGTCATTTCACTTCAAGATGTTATAATAAACGATACCCACAAAATATCATTCATATAAGTAAGACTAAAGACTTACATGTAAATTCTCATGTTGGGTATCCCAAAATTTGATCTTGTCTTCGATATCTTCAGGGTTTTCGGTCTCGTTATCATCTTCGATTTCATGTTGGATATTGTCGCTATACGTGTCATTTTCCGGTAACGATAATATGGTGGCTTCTTCCTCGAGAAACCCAAAGATTGAACCAGACAATTGCACCGTCGGTTGATCATGTGGGTTATCACCGGTGTTGTAATTGTGGTTTGGTGACAGGACACGATGGCTCATCGGAATTCTGGTGGTGGCTCTACCCATGGACCAATCACCAACCTCACACGTTTTTTTTTATAAATAAAAAGAGTGTCTTTTTGTTGCAGTGAAATTAATAATGAAAAGGGTTATTATATATAGGGTTTATGAGTGTCACGTGGCATGTTGGTATTGGATGATGTTAATCTCTACGGTCAAGGATGGGTTGGATCCACGTAAGTTTGAGTCAAGTGGTACAAAGAGATATACTTCAAGATATTCAAATTCTTGTTTATATTTATTTACAGAAAAAACCCTTGAACTTTACATAATATTTAATTCATAAGTTATTTACCAACATATACCACTTTATACATTGTTAAATTTGTAGGTAGTTTTATTCAAGGATATAGATATTTTCATAGTAAATTATAAAATCCCTAGAAGTATTATACCAAAATTTACTCTAGCCGTTGATAAATTATATGCCAGTACTTATGGATTCGTTTTTTTTATCAATATATATCTGTGTAGGAAATTGATAAAATCCTTGTAGTGAGTCTTATAAGTTTTAACAAGTAACAACTAATTTATGGCCTTACTCATTCAATACTCACTATCTAACTTTCAATTTTTTCAATTCTAAACACATTGATCTTCTAAAGTTTGGGTTCGAGTTTGATTCAAGCACATAAATAAGCATGGAACATATAAAGTTACTAAAATGTTATTTCTTTTTCTAATTTCTATCAAAAAGAATATTGACTTGTATTTCTATCAACTTTCAAGCCTTAATACCATGATTTATCTAATGGAGTATGATTCTAGTGTAACATCATTCAGTAGAGCTCATGCTTGAGTTGTTTGACCTAATCTTTTATATTCATTTATTGTCTAGAGTAAATTTCAAAGTACCCAACTGAAGGGTTCCAATGAAATATATGTCTATTAATTTTCTGGTACTTGGACTAAAAATGTAAAACTCATATAAAATGACTAATAGTGAATGATGTAAAATAGTATAGGGGCTATTTGTGTAACTTATTGTGAGTTTGGAGGACCGTATTTTATCGTATTCCATCTGTCGTTTGCTGTTTATCGTGTGCAGCGAACCTCCGCTCATGGAACTCCAGGGCCCCACTTGACAGTCTGGAATGATGAGTAAGACGTGATCCGAACCGTTGAATGAAGGAGATGGAGGGTCACATGCTGTCACCAACTCCATTTATCAAAAAATGGATTTGATACGCGGCGGAAGGCCTATGGTTTTATTAGATTTTAGTAGACTAAAATGCCCTTGTTGTCACAATGATTTGGATGACAATAAGACAAAGGGTACAATAGTCTTTCACTTGGTCAATGTGGGTGGACTACAATTATTTGAATATAAATAATATAAACAGATTTCCACGTTATTCACCTTTTTAAAGAGATTATATAGGGCTTTAAACAATTGAGAGTAAATTTAAGTATTGGTAGTATGGTTTGCTCAAAATAATATATAGGCTTATGTGTATATAATTATTTATCATATAGATGTATAATTGATTGTGGACCAATCATTTTAGTTATTTTAAAAAAAATTATTAATATATATTATTAAATTAAAGATAATAGAAAAATATCATCTAATTTCATTATAATGGTATTTTAGTTAATTGAAATAAATTAAAAAAAAAAAATTCTGGATTTTTAGGGATAATTAATTCTCTTGATTTAAAAATTCTGATTTTTTAATTAATGCAATTTTAATTATAACGTAATTTTTAATTATATCTGATGTTATTATGTCAGAATGACATTCTATTATAATGATATTCTATAAGAATGTCATAATACATATTTTGATTAAATGAACTTCTTGAAAAAATACAACATTTTTGAACTATTAGTTGAAAAATAACAAGAGTCTTGTATATTCATGGACATCTGAATGTAAATATAGATTCATAAATATTCTTACAAAATAATAGCCTTATACATTTTAATAAAATTATACATATTCTGACAGAATATCTAAATTCTTAAAAAACATAGCATTCTTAAATATACAATCCTTGAAAGAATGCACTTTATCTTCTTCAATGGTCCTGAGTCGAATTGATTCCAACCATTCTTACGAGAATGACATTTTGTGATACTAACATCTAGCGATAATTACATTCTGTAGGAATATCATTCTATGAGAATACATTTATCTTCATCATCTAATATATGCAATGCCTCTATCTCTATAAAAAAATACACATTATCAAATCTTCTGATAAAATACCCTTACAAACTTTAATGATGCTGAGAGAATACATATCATATGGTCATAACCACATCAAAATTCTTTGCGTTCTTTAAAACTTTTATCATCAAATTTTCTTTGTTTGATTCATAAACCAGCTGATGTAGCCTTGTTTCTAAAAGAAATTGATGTAAATAATAATATACAAAAAAAAAGTTCAATTCCACTACAAATATAAAAACACGAACATATTAATATGAAATACTAAATAGGTATGCACATTGTGTGTTACACTAATAACATAAAGATAAACCTAGGAACATATCTCTGTTAAGAAATTCCTTATATTAAATTCATTAGGATAGGTGAAAGAACCCCTTTCTAAACTTTCATATTTCTGAAAGACCCAAACTTTCATACTTGACAATTGTTACTCCAAAACATGCTACATGCATATTTATAAAACGATATTTTACATTGATAAAGTGATTACAAAAGATTGGATACAAACCGACTATGTTTTAATATTTTACATAACTACCCAAGATATTGTAATTTTATACAAACATAAACCGAAATACAAAAGTAATATTACAACTATTCTAAACCTTCCAACTGTATATGACTATACTGGTTACTTATCTCCTGCAAATTTGTTAAACATTGAGAGGGTAAGCGGTGACGCTTAGTGAGTTCAATAATAGATACAATATAACGTTATGTCATATATATACTTCAATATGGCAAAAGCAAAGAGGAACAAGGAACAACAAAGACATATGTGAATCATGAGACAAACTTTCAATATCAATCAACGATTTGATTCAAAGATATACGATCAATGAGACATGACAATTTCTATACTTGATATACACCAATAAAGCTTCGGCCCAAATGGCACAGAAGACATACACTTTCTGATTTAAACATTTCGTTAGATTTCAGGCTTATAGCCCTGTCTAACCATCTGCCAATGCCATAGAATAGAAGTCATTCTCTTACGGATACATGCTCTACATGGCCAGAGGCTACGTACCAGTACCACTGTGAATCTAAGTCCTTTCACTGATCACATGGTCAAAGGTATAACTTAGCTATCATAAATAGCATAAATAAAAATAACACGGAAAAATAACCCGGAATAATAACACTGAAAAGCACCTAGCACATATAACACATAACATACAATTGTTCATATATATTAAACTCACTGTGAAATAATCGGGGGTAAAAATAGTAAATTGGGCAGCACTTCGGCTCTAAATATAACTTCCTTCGTTGAAAACCAGGAAATTTATTGAAAACCGGGCTCTGCGAAGGTAGAGCTTCAAAACCGAAAAGATAAATTTTCCGGGCTTCTCGGGCACTTTGGGGCGTGTTTCGGGCGTTGGAAATAATATCGGGGCTTCGGGGGAAGTCAAAATAATAAAAATAGTAAAAAGGGGGTGAAAAATGGCTAATTTCCCATTTTTACTCGGGAAGGTTCGCAGCCCTCCTATTTATAGGGTGAGATCCGAAGTCGGCCGATCAGAAGGGCGAGTCAGCAGCAGCGAGGGAGAGACACGCGTCGGACACGTTGCAGGCCTCGGACGCGACACCTGTGCGAGCTCGGACGCGACACTGGGCGAGGCGACGTCGGACGCCGGTTGGCTGCGACTTCGGTCGAATCCGGAAGCGACACACGGCTACTGTTCATGCGAGGTCAGGTGGCCGGCACTATTCATGCAAAAATTCTCGAAAATTGTGCCCCAATTTTAGAAAAATCATAACTTCCTCATACGAAGTCATAACTTCTTCGTTATAACTCGGATTTCGATGAGGTTTTCGCCTAAATTTTCTAACGAGATTCTTTAAAACTTTCAATAATAAAATTTTACTTATTTCAAAATTTATATTTTCGTTAAATTTCGATATTTGTCTTTTAATTGGAATCTCATAAGACTTCCAATATTTTCCGATTGATTCTAAACATAGTTTTACTTCTTTTCTAGTAAAAACTATCCATTAGAACTCAATACTCATAATTATATAATATTTCATAATATCATTTACTTAAAACACGATTTGAAAACGTGTATGTTACAAATACATCCTCCTTTTAAGGATTTCGTCCCCGAAATCATAACGATAAAAACAAATGGGGATACTTCGCTCTTATTTCATTCTTATTCTCCCAAGTATAATTTGGGCCTCGATGGTGCTTCCACTTGACAAGCACCAACTCCACTTCTTTATTACGTAGATTAGTCGTTCATTCGTTTACGATCTTTTCAGGTTTTTCTACATATCTTAACTTATTATCAAATTTCTCTTAGGATAACGGAATCGTTTCATCATATACGCTCAAGCATTTGCACAGATAACTCACATGAAATACATCATGAGTACCTGCCAAATCTTCAAGCAATTCCAAGCGGTATGCTTGTTTACCAATCCTCTGGATGATTTTGAAATGACCAACAAATCTAGGACTTAATTTTTCTTTCTTTCTCAAATTTCATAATACCTTTCCACGGGGTTACCTTCAGTATCACCCACTTGGAATTCTATGGGTCATCTTCTCTTTTCTGTATAGGACTTCTGTCGATCTTGGGCCGCTTTCATTCTTTCTCGTACAATTTGAATCTTGTCGGTGGTGTCTTGAATCATTTCAGGGCCTCCAAGGATCTTCTGTCCTATGTCTCGCCAACATAATGACGTACGGCATTTACGACCATATAATGCTTCATACAGTGGCATTTTGATTGAAGCGTGGTAACTGTTATTATACGAAAATTCGACAAGAGGTAAGTACTTATCCCAGTTACCACCGAACTCCACGACACATGCACGAAGCATATCTTTTACTGTTTGGATCGTTCTCTCCGTTTGACTATCTGTCCGGGGATGAT